TTTTTTTTTTTTTTTTTTTTTGTAATTTTGTGTATTTTTTATTCTAGGTTTTGTATCAGTTTTGCACTTTTTAGATCTCTGGATCAGCCTTGTATTTTTATTTGTCTCTTTAAAAGAAGTTGCTCTTTATTTCTCTTGTGATGAATGTTCCTGTCTCTGTCAGGTTGCTCTTCAGGTGGTAAACAGATGTGATGTTTCCTTGTGGCCCTGGACTCATTGGGTCTATGGTTTGGGCCTCCTCAGTAATCTGTGCTTGTGGATCTGACCTACATGTTATTTATGTAGCCTGCATTCGAGCTGGAGTAAGTTTCAGCAGCAAAGTAAACAAGTTGCTCCACTTTAGAGTCAGTTTGTGAGCAGTTCAGGTGTTTTCTTTAGTTCGGGTTTAACAGGTTCTGATGTGTGACCCACGTGGGCATCCTTACCTCCGTCAGAGTATGTTTCAGTCCCGTACCCGTCCTGCAGCCCGTTGCTCCAGGTCCCCTCGTACCGGGCCCCACTAGCCGTGCTCTCCAGCTGCCCGTAGCGGCCCTTGAAGCCCTGGGTCCATTCCCCCCGGTAATCCCAGCGGCCCTTGCTCTCCACTCCGATGCCGTGCCGCTTCCCCTGTGCCCAGGTGCCCTGGTAGCTGTTCCCGCTGGGCCACGTGTACACACCCAGAACCTCAAAGCCATAGCTCCAGGCGCCGGCGTACTCCCCCTGACCCTGGGGCCCAGTGCAGACCCCTCGACCGTGAGCCTTTCCCTGCTCCCACCCCCCGCAGTACGACCCCCCATCATCAAAGTCAAACCTGCCTCCAGTGGACATGCATGAAACAGGTTTAGGCAAAACCTCAGAAAGTCAGGAAAACCAATCTGGAGTGTGTTTCAGTCAGGAGGAGGTAGGAGGCCTCAGCTGAGCCAGGTAGCATGGAGGTGCAGGGCCTCGCCTTTCCCTCTCCTCTTGGTTTAGAAAAAAAAAATCAGCTCCTGTTTTCAAAAGCAGCAGGACGAAACCTGAAAATCATCTCTTGTCTGGGAAACCGCCTGAGCTTCAGCGATGGGTCTGGAGCGACAAACGCAGTCTCCGTGCACGCTGTTTCCCACRGGCAGGCGGGCTTCCAGAGGCTCTCCTCCTCCTCCTCCACTTCCTCCTCCACCTTCCCGCTCCTCGGCCGAGCTGCGGGATGCTTCCCACAAGCTGGGCCTAGGCTTCTCTGAGCCGTCCCGCAGGCCCAGAGAGCAGCAGCGCCTCGCTCGGATGTTAGAGCATCCTCACATCCCTGCCGCACCGAGCAGGAAACAGGACAGGGATGCTGCGGCGCTGCTACGCCACCAACAAAAATCAAAGCACACACACACAGGAGCTGAGAAACTGGACAGATTTCTACACAACGTATCCTGAAAACAAGCGATCCGTCTCAGAGAGTCTCATCCATCCTCACACACCTCTGCAAATATAACGAAGTGTGAAGATCTCCCCTTTCCTCTCCTGCTGGGCAGAGGAGGCGAGCTGCTCAGGCTGTGGATGCAGGAGCAGGGATTATTCCTTCGCTGCTGCTCCTCCTCATCGCTGTGCTYGCATCAGTTTGGATTGTTGTTGTAAAATCCCACCAAGTCATCTGCCCTCTCTGGTGTTTCGGCCTTTCAATCTCTCCCAATCTGCTCATTACAGGACTGTTCCACTCCAACCAATACCCCTCCCCCACAGTCACACACACTCAGCGAACACACACACGCACGCACACAACACTCCTTAAAGAGATAGAGACAGAGGGATGGTGCAAATAGCTGCATGTACAAAGCTCACTGCTCTTTCCCTTTGGGGATACAGGCTGCTTCTCCTAATTATCCAGCCTCATTTCACTCTCTGCCCCTCTTCCTCCTCCTCCTCCTCTTCCTCCTCCAGGGCTGAAATCTGGTCACTCAGCAAACTGTTTTTCTGATAAGTGGAGCTTTGTGTGCACATTGATCTCAACCACTGTCTCCTCAGCTAATTGTTGTCATCGTGTTTTTCTAGCTGTCACTTGACAGAACAAATAAATGTTTAGCCTCGTCACGAATTTCACAAGAAAACACGCCTGTTTCACTTAGCTTAGGCAGTAAATATCACCACTGACCCCAACTTACATCGCTGCATCTGCACAATCATTTGCACTGTTTTTTATCATCACTTTATTTATAAAGCACATTAAACAACAGTGTTGACCAAAGTGCTTCACAGACATGATACAATGAACGTAAACAAACTAAAAACAGATTAAAAAAAAACACAATTTCAACAAACAAGTCTCAGTCCAGTCAACATTTCTGCCGTTATTCCCTCACTGATGTAAATAAATTGTTGTGATTAGGCCTGTATGGGCTCAGATTTTAGTCGAATCGAATTTGTACTTGTAAAACTGACTTTGTATTTGTAGATTAAGA